TGAGAGTATACAGAAGTTGACATGCATCAGTATGTTGGGCAATCGAAGAAACAGGGGGTTTGATCAGGGAGTGGAAAAGGAGTGGAAGAAATTTGCGTTCCATCAGAATGGAACTTTTTGAATTTTATACTTTATACTCACTCGCTGCTCTTCGCCTCTTTCCTCAATTTTGGAGAAGATTCTATCGAACAATTATATGCCTTTTTCTACAACCCATACCCAAAACATATTGTCAACGACGGATGGAGCGTATACGATCCTTTAAGGGAATTCGAGCGGATGGGAGTAACAAAAAATGTTGCATGGCGGTTTTCGACTGTCAATAGGAATTATGATGTATGTAATTTATTATCATCTCTGTTTATAAATGGCAATACTCGGTTATAATGTAATAGGGAAGAGAGGGTTCTATATATCTCGGACAAGTGCACATTTCCGACTTAATCGCTTTGCTTTTAGCTTTGTCCGTCTTACCCAAGAATCCTAGTTGTGCCATCGAAAATAAGTGATGCCGTCCTTTCGCATGCATACAAGTTTCGCAGTAAAGGTCGGATTCCGACTTTGAGTTATTTACATTGGGCGAATCAGGTAATCGGTCAATTACGAATCACTTGGCGAAACAGTATAAATATTACCATTATTGCTCCACAATAATAGATTTTACATTTTCTGCCTACCCACCGCCTTTTTGTGCTTTCGATATTTTTCTAATCTTATATCATATGAAAAGTCTTCTATAACACGCTCAAGCCAACCAATGGTTGGAATAAAACTGAAGCGTTCTCCGCAAGACGAGAAGCTAATCGAAGCCATCTTCCAAACGAACAGACTCTTTGTTGATGGACAAACTAAAACAGTCTACGGATCAACACAACGCAATCTGATCGTAGACGCACGTCCAACTATAAATATCATGGCCAACAGAGCAATGGGTGCAGGAACAGAGCATATGGATAATTACAAAAATTGCCAGAAACAACAAATGGGAATCGATAATATTCATGTGATGAGAGAATCTTTGGCGAAGATTGTTGATGGTAGACTTGTTAATGTCGGGATTTTGATGGGGGGGGGGGGACAGCAAAGTAAAAGTTAGGCTTTTGGGAGTTCCTTGTTGTATGTGGTGGCATTATATTAACATAGTCTTTCTTTTTTTTGCAATTCAATTTCACCATCTTGTCCTCTATTTCTTGTTTAAAAATTTGCTCTCCTTCCAGTAATCCAGTCATCCGATATCCAACGAATTCCAATAAAACGTTCTCTCTTGGACAAATCCAACTGGCTCAAGCACATAAGTACTCTTCTCGAAGCAGCCGTGATCATAGTTAATCATATTCACGTTTGCAACTCACACGTACTAGTCCATTGCTCAGACGGATGGGATCGCACTGCACAATTGACATCCATAGCTGAACTCTGTCTCGACCCTTACTATCGCACACTTCGCGGGTTTCAAGTACTTGTTGAAAAAGACTGGATATCGTTCGGCCACAAGTTCAGTGATCGCTCAGGACACCTGTCGAATGAGAAATATTTTATCACAATATCAAACAGCAATGCCAAGAATATGAATAGTTTGTATGATCAATCACACGTTAGAGAAACCTCACCAGTGTTTCACCAATTCCTAGATTGCGTTTATCAATTGTTGCGTCAGTTTCCAGATAGGTTTGAGTTCAATGAGAAGTTTCTGATTGAATTGCATTATCACGTGTATTCATGTCAGTTTGGGACATTTCTGTTTAATTCGGAAAAGGAACGGGTACAGTATAATGTGGTAGCATCCACCAATTCGTTGTGGGATTATATCAACTCCAAAGCCGAAGAGTTTACGAATGAATCGTATGATGGAGGAGCCAAGGATACAGAAGAGATGGGTGATGGAGCAGTATTATTTCCCAGGACAAAGACAAGTGATTTAAAGTATTGGGCCGGGTTGTTTGGTAAGAAAGACGAGGAATTGAACGATTGGCTGACATGGAGATCAGAGAGCCCGCCACCTTGTCCACCGACTACTCCGACCGTAATGAGCGTGTCATTTGGTGCACACAAAGATGATGAACTAAGTAGAGACTGGCTAATTATCTGAGGAGATTGGGATTGGAGGCATTACCAAACATGTATCTAGTATCTAGTACATCTAGCCATATTAATATGTATAAGCTGTGTTATTCCTGTCTGTCTGTCAGAGGTTGGAGGAGAACGTAATTTAAAGTCATGTTTGAGATCAATTGTCGTATATGACATTTGATCAAATTGGAGACAATATTTAACATAATAATTACTTATTTATCATGTAAATAAAATTCTACCCCTAAATCACATAATACAATACTTGCTGTCTAATGTGTTGCAAAAGTTTTTGGAATCGAATTTTTAAATGTGGAATGCCTCATTTAAAACGTTAAAATTCACAGATTTATTATATTAATTAAATATAGCATGGAATACGTTTACCGTTTCTCTCAACCGATTCTTGGACATTTTTCTTTCTACGTTTGTCATAACAATATGGACTGTTGAATGGCCAATCCATAACTTCATCCTTTAAGCAATATGACTTGTTAAAACCGTTTGATCGTGAGTTTATTATATATTTTACATGACGCGAGTTGTTTTGTAAAACAATCGATTAAATTACGCGTATAATTTTTAAAAAGCTTTTGCAACACACTGGATCGATATCTTTGTGCGTAGATACAAAACTTTTATCAGACTGTATATAATTCGTGAATATGAACTACTAGAACGCATGACATTAGACTCATCACCAATATCATAAATTAGACATTAATATCTACCACATAATAAATTTTTTATTTTTCTTTTTGTGCACAACTACCTGCTGAAGGCAGTTAACATAAAACCTTCTAGTGTTGAGTATAACTCGCGTCCATTCAATTCTTACCAATCTGCTATATGCGTGCATCCATATCTCCAGTCAATGGCAGCAAGTGCTTCCCGTGGTATGTATTTACCTTGGATGTAGAAGTTCAATTTTAGCTAATTTCGAGAAATAAGTAATGGCCTTTCAAAGTAATGTAATATTCACTCTACTTCATATACAAGGGATTTATTACTTATTTTTTTCTGTGCCAGACTTTTGCTGTGCTGATGCATATGAAGAGTATTAGATGAGTAATTTCGCTGCATCTACGATGACGATGTGGTCAGATATTTCTATCAAAATGCCGATATATAACAAAAATAGTAATACGTCTACTTTATTTGGAATGGCGGGAAAATCGATTAACATCGTGACGACAAGTTTCAAGAAGCTAGCCGAACAATAAACCAACTTACCTTGATTAATTGATGATATTGTTAATGTAAATAATTGTAAGATTTGATGCAGGTAAATAAAAGGATTCACTAAGCGGACATCACTTTTTTAGGATCGATTTTTGAAATATGCTTTTTTTTGGAAGAAATTACGTTAATATGATTATCAAGGGCCCCTTTTCCAATAATATGCATAAGAATTTGAGAATATGCAATCATCATTGCAATTGCTTGCTGCACATATGTAGGGATGGTAAACCTACTCTTCGAATATTATTAATATGGCACAACTCTGCGTTCTGCTGCTCTTAGCTTTATCGATTAGGGTAAAGAAAACTACTACTAAAAAAAAATGCGAATAAACAAAAAGAATATATATATATATCGATAAAATAGTCGATCTTGAACTTGAGTTTAAACGACGAAACCGAAAACTTCAATTTCTGTCTTGTGCTTGATGCATTTAAGAATAAAGTGATAGCAGATGACATAACTTCGAAAGTGATCTTGAAGCCACTGGAATCCCGCGATGATGACGACATTACGATCTCGTTGACGTTACGGATAAAGAAGAATAACCTAAAGAGGAGATGAATCGACATTTTTGCGGAGAGCCGATATGCGACCATATTTAAACGGCGCATCCATGAGTAATGCATCTGCATTTATCGAAGACTTTGTAGTAGTCAACTTCCTGGAGCAAAACAGCGAATTACATGTAAATGTAAAGTTTCATGTGTCATGTGCAGAATATGAATAAATGCGCGATTTGCGTTGTCGGTGGCTTTACCCGCATTATCATTAACGGTTACGGGTGAATGACTATACTGAAATTAGTAATTAGGTTGACGGTGGGTGAATAAACACTAATACTAATACTAAGCGTGAAGGAGTAAGTATCAACAGCTTGATGCATCTGGAAATCAACGATCAGTTGTCCAGTAGGGGCAGCATAAATTGGAAATTGTTTATTTTCCACGTTACACATAAAATTCTTCGCTGATGGATAACATCATAACGGTCTCATTACGATTAATTATTATTAAATTTATCTGCATTGCATGAAGGCAATTGTGGTATCAATCACTCGATTTAGAAAGCTGCTAAATACGTGTATTATTATATAATGACTAGAAATAATATGTTGATAAAAAGAATTACGAATTGATAAAACCTATGGGATTAAATGTATATGAGTAATAGCTTTATTTCTCGGCCGGCGGGATGGGTCATAGATCAGCGGTTTATGGACAAGTTGAATAAACCTTACAAATGTAGAGTTGAGTGATAGTTTACAAAATATGAAAAATACAATCCATTTTCGCTGATACTACCAAGGTCATTATGTATATGTACGAATCATCAATGCTGCAAGTATTGCGTAGTGAAATGTTTAATTTTACAGACAATCGTTATTATTATCATCATTTTTCCTATTATTCTGACACAGTCAAAAATTAGCTTCGATTGTTCTAACATTAATGAGGTGGACCGCTACACTCGAGAGACATACATTCACTTTCAGAGGAGTGCGAGGCATTGCTTTTCTTTGTTTCATCAATTGTACAATGCATCTTGGTATAAACCAATGAGAAGAGCAAATAAAGAGAAAATAGTACAGATATAAACTTACAAGCAGAGTAGAAGCCGATACAAACAAAGAAATATAATCTCAAAGAAGGCAAACCTTATCACTGTTATTTAAAATCGTAATGACTATTGTAAGATGTCAACGGCTATGTTATCAACGGAACAACTAAAAGCGAATTGGATCTCTTTCTGCAAGAAAACGCTTGTTATCAGTAATTATTCAACGTATAAATAACTATTGAAGTAAGGGAAGGATTGCTGATACGCTGGAGATCATAACCGGTTTCTCAATATTTTGTACACTTTCATGCACTATTATTAATACCAACGCATGCTGCATCCGGGATTGGTCAACTGTGCCACCAAACGAATGATTAATAGTAATGCACAGGTTGTTTGATCTTTTGCTTTTGACTAGCCAATTTTGGCTTGCGATTTACATCACCTTAGATCTGATTTGAGATATACTATATCTGGTTCTTCTCCGTAATTCAATGTAATACAACACTCGAACTCGCCTAAATAAGATGAAAGCTAAACATTTTGGTCGAATTCACCTGAATTTTATCATGTGAAACTCCTTTTGTTTCACGCGATCGATAAACTACAAATATAAACGAATGATAAAGAAATATGCAGCAAAAAAAAAAAGAAGAAGAAAAAACGCTACAGCTTATTAATATACATACGTATTTATGTAATACATACGCTGTTCATTGTTTCGTAAAAGTAAGGAGTTAGTATACTTGCCAACATCCAGTTGCGTGGGTTTACCGGTGGTTATTAAAAGATAGACGACAAGCAGTAAATTAATCACAATATTAAAAATAATGAACATAATGATTAATATAGATTCATAATAATATGAAAAATTATGTATAATGTTTACAGGGCCCGACGATTAGTATCTATTGGAGTGCAATACAAACGTTGGCTTCAATGTTACAATTCAGATTAGGCTAGCCGACTCGAGTAAATAATTTATTTTTGCTATCGTACTACTAGGCTATTCTAATTACAAGTAGGAACTTGCCCAACTCGCCTTACAATCCAAACTTGTTAAGCATAATCGTAATTGTATGGTTGCCGTTCTAAATTTTGAAAGAGACATTTTCTATTTGCGGCAAGCAAAATTTTATTTTCAGTGGGGGTTAAAATAGCTTTTTGTTTTCACGGGTTCATTGGATGATCCGGGAATAGAAAACCAATTATCCTGACGTCCAACTATTGTTCATAGTCTTTTTTCTAAAACATGTGATAAGCACCTAAGAAAGGTCAATATGAAATTATGGTAATAAGATTTCTAAAGGACAAGTAAAGAATAGATTATTATTATGGCTTGATTTTTATGACAAAAAAGAAATGCGAGATTCGATGTTTGTTTATAAGAATACAAAATATATCCCTGTACAATTAATTTTTTGTTTATGCAATACATATGTATATCGTTTTATTTACCCCATTTACGTTTAAATGCATTGGCACTGAGAAAATTTTGTTCCTGCATGTATGGAAGATCATTCATTGTTCTATATAAAATGTTATGCTTATTATATCTTCTAATACTGCTTTGATGTTGAATATGGGAGGTTTGAGCTAATCTTCAAACAACTTTATTTATTTTATCCGTTATTCCTGAAGCAAGTGATATCGAATTATTGTGGTTGCAGCAAACTGTTGTTATTTCAAACAATATAATATATAATATAAAACTAATAGACAGTAACTCTAAAATGGCAAATTTTTGCCAAAAAAAGAAAGAAATTTTATATTTAATCAAAACAATAACAGTGGGGTAACAAACAATAGTATACAGAGGACCGTACCGTAACATGTTAAACATGTTAGAAAGGTTTTGATCTAGATCACAGTACAACTGGTAGTTGCAAGAGATCTACTATCACACAATCAGGTATATGTTTTATCGAATTTTCGGGTCTTTCAAAAAGACAACATGTTGAAATACGGTACATTCAAATCAAGGTTCACGTGATACGTTTGAATGGACTTTCTTGCTAGCGCAAATAATAAACTGAAAATTTATTAATTCGAGAACAAAATATTTCGGTAAACACGATATGTGACAGGAAAGGAAGTGAAGTTGACGCTATTGCTGAAAGGTAATGCACCACGTTCCAGTTGACAGCAAACCAATTATGTGGTATTATTTGGTATTAAGGTAGTAATTAACCAATTACGATAAATTAGCTCCATCATAGTTATTATACTAATTATTATTATCAACATTGCTAAACCCGAAATACTTCAAAGATACCAAATTACAAAAAATGTTCGCTTTGCATGATTTTCAATAGCGACGAATTACAAGCAACGGTGTATCTTTACAAGATAAGTGGCGTTCTTTTCAACCCACTATCAAACGGCTTTCGAAACCAAAGTGTAAAGTAATGCTGTTTACCATTGCAACTCTTATATCAACTTGGCAAAAATATGAGATTTCATAGTCAATGTAATAAGTTACCGTTATAATGTAACACTTTACTGGGTTATACATATGGGTAAAGATCCGATATGACTAGAAACTGCCAGGGTGTCAAAAGAACGTTTTCCAGCCCTCGTAACATTTAAAGAAACCATTGGTAGTCTCAACTAGTGTTTTTCATCGGTAGTTTTTTGGTGTTTGCTGAACATTAATTAATCGGTTACAACAATCGGCGGTCTGTAGTATTATCGGTAGTTTTGGTGTTTGCTGAACATTAATTATTTCATTTCATTTCAATAATCGGCGGTTTGTTGTTGTTGTTGTTGTTGTCAATTAACTTAATAATTAGAACTTTGTTTTTGTCGTGGTTTCTAACCGTTCCACAGTAACGTCTTTTCTACGATTAGTTGGAGTGGTGGGTAGTAACATCTAGCCAAAACCTTTGACCTCCCTCCCTGAAATCATCCTGTGTGCTGCAAACATGCTCCCCCCATATCTATAGTGTCGATTGCACGCTAACGACACACCTTTGTGAATATTAATAGCAATATCCTACCGATCATCAACCGCTTTACTATATAATTAAGGGATTGGCCCGACTAGACAATTAATAGCAGCTATGTATTGTAAAAAAAGTATATATTGCCCCAAATAAAGGTGTATTATCAACAGCGTAAATGACAACAGGAATGCCATTCCGATAAACACACTTGTTTCGCCAAACGCCGGTTGGGGGCGGGGGTGGGGGGGGGGGCCATCTCCTTTCCAAGCGGGTAACCTTGGCCCACAAACCGGAACATTCCTTGTCATCCACTTGATTGAACTCTATACGTTTTCGTAAATTAGTCATTTGTGATGATTTGCTATTAGTAACACATGCGATGATTGGACGGTTGAATTAAATACAAAAAAAAGTTGCGAATGTTTAGAGCGAAAAGTCTTTATTTTCGAAAGAGGGGTCAGCTGACACAGTGTTTGAGAAGGGAGGGGGAAACAATGTTTGCTTGAATGTTGACGTTTGTTGCTATTTTTCCATTGTCCACTTTATGTAAGCGAGTGGATTTGGATTGTGGACAGGAACTTACAGGTCTGATGAAACAATTAAGGTTTGCGACTTGGTGAATGTTTTTATAGAACAGGTTAAAGTTTGCGAGTCTCTAAACTACTTTTGTGGATGCAAATCTCTTCGAATCGGTTCTATATTGTTCCATAATCCAGCTACACAGATGTATCAATGACATCAGATATTCGCCCATGCGCCAAGAAATATTCAATCTAGAATTTATATAGAGATTAATAATTATCACAAACATTAAGCACAGATATATTAATACGAGGATGCACACAAAATGCAAATGCATTCAAGACATTACCAGTAATAATTCAAACAAGAAGAAAGACGTGTGGGTATTTTCACTAATATAGACGCAGCAATGTTTAAAGTTTCTGTTGATGGCTAGCTGCTTATGGAAGTAATAATTAACCACCAACAATTACAACACGACACTCTCTCGTAAATATTTGTGCTATAATTATGTAATGTACTAATTATATATTATTCCAACATGAGATATGTATGTATCCTCATTTGTTTAAATCACCTGTTTATTACTGTGATCAACTATTTTAAGAGCATGAATTTCGTCGTTTCCAATTTAGGACCACGTCTCGAGCCCAATTGCATGGCCAATCACTGTCTACCGTGTTAGCTATTTATACTCAAACTCCGATATCGAGAATTCTCCCTTTCTCTCAGAGTTGAAAAAAAAAAGTGGGAGCGAAAGACATCTCCTCCTCCAGGAAGGAAAAACATCAAAAAATACTGTAACAAATAAGAATAAGTAGATATTGTAATTGGACTATATTAATGAGAAAAGGAATATATATATTGGCAACACGTTACGCTAAAATTACCAAAGCATAAACATTTTATCTATTTTAGAGTTACACTTAAATTCAATACTTGGTGAGTGATTGTGCACTATTAATTATCCTTCTTCTTCGCGATTCTTTTCAGCTGGCCGAAACATAAAGGACTGGGTTCCTAAAACCCCTCTCCCCCACCCCCATCCCCTCTCCGAACTTTTTACTCTCATTTCAATTTCCCTCCTCACCACCCTCTCCCCTTTTTCTTACACACAATACAACAAGAATAATAATTCCATCAAAGGCAATAATCAAATACAAAGTTTAAATAATAGAGGGTAGCGTCAATTATAAACGAGACTATCATTTTTAGACTTGCATTCACGTCCAACTTTTCTTGGCGCTAACGCTTTCACGCTCTTTTACTCACACAGGCGTACTCTGACCACATGTTCAATAGTCTACAACTTTTCACATAACACGTTTCCACATACGAGAACCATAAATCTCACCCCCACCAAACCATACTTTCCCTCGCAACTATTCTACCGACTTGAGATCTACTATTTCCCCCACTTCACTTAATATAATCTCTCCGCCCACTTCCCCTCTCCCCTTTCACTTTGGTATAAATGTCCGCAGACCAGTATGGACGGTCAGCGGTACCGATTCGAAACTCTGTTTTCAATCCCGCTACTCCATCTCGCCCTCGTCCCACACCTTCAGTCTCCTTCAACAAATCTCAAACTTCAAATCGTTCGATAGACGACAACAATGTCAATAATAATGTCCAGTCCGGCTTTAGTCTTCGCCGTCAGAAATCTCTCATCCGCCCTGATCGTGAACGCATAGACCCAAACCATCCTTACTATCACTATTATGCACATGCAAGCGAACTTGCAGAAGATAGAATAGCAAATAGCCAGACAGGGAATACTCCACGGAGAGGAAAGAGCATGTCCGAGAGGGAAAGGCCAAAGAGTATAAAAAAAAAGAAAAAGGATGTCGCGCCACCCAGGAAAAAGAAAAAACCACAACGGTTACCGTCTTGCTGGATAGTATTTTGTTATATTGTTACCTTTTATGCACCGGGTTTTCTACTTAGTACTTGCGGTAAGTGCGTGTGAATGAACGTGAATTAGTCCATTACATTGATAGTGTGAGAGGGAGCTTTAGATCAAATAAGGTTAAAATTGCTCCGCCGCAATTACGTGATGTCTTCTAACCATACCCCCCTCCCACCCTCTCAGGTCGAATGAAATTACCCGAAGTCCAACGCGCCTGGAGAGAAAAAATGGGTCTTATAACAATAATTCTATCGATCTGCGGCGCAGTTGGTTTTATAACTTTTGGCTTTACCGAAACAGTCTGTCGCTCACCCCCCGCTCGTATCCAGGGTGGGGAGGCAACCTCAGGAAGCGTCATAGTTAATGGATTTGCCATTAATTTCGACGAAATAGGTTTCCAGCATCCTGGTTTTGATGGGTACCCACCTTCGAATCCTGCCTATCCTCCCATAAATGCTGGTGGAAAAGACGCGTCTTTTCTGTTTCAGAAAACAAACTATAACTGTAGAGGACTGATCACTCCTGCACCCGGAGGGAATTACTATCAGCAGGATGGTTTGCTCGGATGGTACTTCCCTTGTGTCGTTATCGGACAGAATTCTGTACCGAGTCAAGTAGAAAGGAACTATACCATCCCCTCATGTCACGCCAACCTAGATGTTAGGGCTCAACTTGCTGGCATGATAAAGAATTCAGCTGCAGAAATATTCTATACATGGGATGATGTAGCTGATCCGAACACGAATTTGGCTGTTTATAACGGGTAAGTTTTATGGGAATTTCTCGTGTAATATTATTGTGACAGTCATGCTCTAATCCCTTGCTTGACTCGTTGGAAACAGTATTATCTTGGACTTTAACAAATTAAAATGGCTCGACCTATCCCAAGTCCACGTTCCGGAAACCTTTCAAGCGCTCATGAAACCAGACAACGAGTATCGCGGCCAAGATGCATCCCTTATCTTTGCCAGCAAGGGAGAAAAACATGTTGCCGACTGTCTAGTCGATATTATCCGTGTTGGAGCAATCGACTCCAAAACAATGGGCTGTATTGCGTCCGATTTAATTCTCGTGGTTTCTTTAATCTTCATCGTTGGCGTAGTATTGATCAAATTCATCCTCGCCGTAATTTTCGGATGGTGTATTTCGTGGCGATTGGGTTCGTTCAAACCAGAGAGTTACGAAGAACGGATGAAAAGAGCGGCCGAGATCGAAAAGTGGTCAGAGAACATTCTCAAACCTGCTCCGCAATTGAAGAAGCAGAGAAACAGTTTTTTGCCAGCAACTTCGAGATTTTCCACTGCTAATCTTGGACTTAGATCCGGTAATGGGCAAGCAGTTAATCAGTACGGCTCGTACACAACTCGTAGATCACAATATCTGAGACCGTCGTCGTCTACGACTTCATTAACGCAGGGAACTCATCCCTCTACTGCAAAGAGTTCTCCAACGAATTCTCCCCGACTCTTACCAATTCCAGGTCCTGGTAATTCTAGTGTTCCCAGTAGTCCCCGCTTGTCTCCTTCGCGTTCTCTTTCAGATGTAAATACGATAGCGTTGCCAGAATTGGCGTCAGTCAGTAAACATGGAAGTACAACGTCACTAGCTCTACCGAAAGGATATGAAGCAATTTCAACCGACAGTATCGATTTACATTCAAACACCAATACGGTTCTACCAGATGCTGGTTATCAACCGTTCAACTTTGAGCTGGCTCAGACCATTTGTCTAGTAACTGCATATTCTGAATCGGTCGAAGGACTCCGCACCACTCTCGATTCCATTGCTACCACAGACTATCCCAATTCCCATAAACTTATACTTGTCATTGCTGATGGTATAATACGAGGTTCTGGTAACGAATTATCCACACCGGAAGTTTGTCTGTCGATGATGAAAGATTTCACAATCTCCAAGAAGAAGGTCGAAGCACATTCGTATTTGGCTATTGCTGATGGATCCAAGAGACATAACATGGCCAAAGTATATTCTGGATTTTATAAATATGACAAGACGACAGTGGATCCTTCCAAGCATCAACCAGTGCCAATGGTGACCATTGTCAAATGTGGTCCGCCCGAGGAAGCCAGCGCACCAAAACCAGGAAATCGAGGAAAGAGAGATTCACAGCTCATTTTAATGTCATTCTTGCAAAAAGTTATGTTTGACGAGCGTATGACCCCATTGGAGTATGAACTTTTTAATGCTATTTGGAAAGTGACGGGGGCCACTCCCGATAAATATGAACTTGTGCTTATGGTACGTAAGAAAAAAAAAGAAAAGAAAAAAAGGGAAAGTCATTGACTAGTCTATTGCAAATAAGAAATTGGTACAAAAATCTTGGAGAAAGGTTTGTGATTATGCTGACCCATCGTCATTTATTATACAGGTTGACGCGGATACAAAGGTTTATCCTGATTCTTTGACGCGAATGATTTCTTGCATGGCTCATGATCATGAAATTATGGGATTATGTGGTGAGACCAAGATTGCTAACAAGACTGATAGTTTTTGGACAATGATTCAAGGTAAGACATGTTCAATGGGGAAAAGAAAAAGCGAAAATCTGTTTATTGCATTGTTGATGTGTCTCTAGGTAAATCACTGCTTACAATACTCGCCTACTTTTATTTTTTCGCTTCTTCAAACAGTTTTCGAATACTACATTTCTCATCATTCAAGCAAAGCCTTCGAATCCGTTTTTGGTGGTGTGACCTGTCTTCCTGGTTGTTTCTGTATGTATCGCATAAAAACGCCAAAAGGCCCTGAGGGCTATTGGGTTCCCATCCTCGCCAATCCCGACATTGTCGAGCGCTATTCCGAAAACATTGTTGATACACTACACAAAAAGAATCTTCTCCTTCTCGGCGAAGATCGTTACCTTACTACACTCATGTTACGAACTTTCCCAAAGCGTAAAATGATATTTGTGCCACAGGCTGTATGTAAGACAGTTGTACCTGACACGTTCTCAGTGCTGCTATCACAAAGGAGAAGATGGATTAATTCGACAGTACATAATTTGATGGAGCTGGTCTTGGTCAGAGATTTATGTGGAACATTCTGTTTCTCTATGCAATTCGTAATATTTATGGAATTAATTGGAACTGTTGTGTTACCGGCTGCTATTTCGTTCACCATATATTTAATAGTGATCTCATTCATCATCCGACCAATACCGTTTATCCCTCTCTTACTGCTTGCAACCATTCTTGGTCTGCCAGCAGTTCTTATCTTGATGACATCACGGAAAATAGTTTATGTTGGGTGGATGTTGATTTATCTTTTAGCATTACCAATATGGAACTTTGTTCTCCCAGTATATGCTTATTGGCACTTTGATGACTTTTCATGGGGCCAGACTCGTCAAGTAGCTGGAGAAAAGGGAGGTGGTGATGATCACGGAAAGAAAGAAGGAGAATTTGATAGTTCAAAGTTGGTTATGAAGAGGTGGGCAGATTTTGAACGAGATCAGCGATGTCGAGAAGCAATAGCCAAAGGACTTCCACCACCAGTATTTGTGGATGATAATCCTAGTAAACTCAGATATAGTATGGCCGATTCGACGGATAGTGAAAATTCTTCACGGACATTTGAAAGTTTAGCGCCATTGACCAAGAAAGTCAGTATGAGTCAGCGGTTTGCTTCGCCTCTGGGTGGCGAACTTTATACAGAATATGGCCCTCCTCCGCTTCCAAAGGGCGACTTGAAAAGACAAGAGTCTGCAAATTTCCAGCAAATACATCACAAGGACCAATTATGGAAACAGGTAGAAGTAGCCAGTGAAAATGATATAGAACTCACAGACATGTCTTCGACATTATCAAATTCACCAACGGGCTCTCAAGAAGATCAAGATCCTGCAGACGTGCCAGAGCACACTTTGGATCCAGCAAATCCTGACTCGACTGTACAGCAATCATCGGATGACAAGGTTGAAGAAATCGACCCGTCCCAAGTCACTGAATATAGAACTCGCAATCTGGCCACTCCATCTACTTCCGATACAACATCTGTATACGAAGATTTCTATAACAAGTCTCCATCTTCTTACAATAGACGCGATGTCACTGGACGTGGATCTCCGGATTCAATAGCGCTTGCTCGTGGCACAACTCGGCAACCTTCGCGAGAGTCACTCCGTCAGCAGCCGATGGTGCATAATCAGATGTCGATGCTTCCACCTCAATCTCTGAAAGAAGAAGAGTCCGAGGATGGACGACTACTTATGTCACCAAAACGCTACTACAACAACTACAAACAATTACGTAATGATAATAGCAATAACAGTTCCGATCAGTCATAAATTGTATTATTATTTTTAGTTGTCGTTTTTAATTATATTCGCACATTTAATTTAGAGATTGGTACTAAACTTGTAAGCTAAATGGTGTAGTTATTATACCACATATATTGCACCATTTTGGGACACCAATAACTTGGGGGAATCTGGCTGGAGAATCAATTCTGAGCATCGAAATCACTTCATAGAGAAACGAAGCATTGTAAAAATCACTTATTCATTCGAACTCATTAAAAAAAAAAAGTTTTTTTATTTTAATGGGAAACTCGTACAGTGTATTGTGTGCTGCATTTCTATTAACGACATCTTGTGTATATTGATTGACTAAGAATTACGTCACTGAGTTACATACTTATTTTATGTTATTGGCTACAATTTCTTCTCTTGCAGACCTACCAAAAATAGTCCATCTTGGGTATAAAATAAAATTAAAAGAACACAATCATACTAACAAATACGTAGCATTCAGTAAAAAAAAAAAAATCCAATTCTAAATAGACTGAACGTTATACACATATACCGTTTACTCCTTTAGCGTACCGATTACAGTTTCAGGTGCATACTTCTCAATCACGTTCTAAAAAAGCAAGATAAACATAATTAGCAACATAATCATAAAAGCGTATAGGAATGAAGCTCTAATCGTTTAGAATAAAACTACATTATTTACACACCCTATTGTGAAGCATTAAAAACTCTTCGGTAGCATCTCTACCAGCATACAAAAGAATAGCCTTCTTGCCACCAGGATGGTCAGGAAGGAATTTGGTCACGTCTAATACTTTGCCCTCAATAATAACCCAACAATCGTCATCCTTATTATGTTTTGCGACCTCATCTGCAGTATACGAACCTAACGTCTTTTCGGTTGGTGCAGCAGGTTCAGCGGAAGCAGGTTGAGAAGTCGTTGCAGTTACTGGTTGTGAAGCGCTAACAGCAGTCGGAGCACTACCGTCTTGATTCCAAGAAATCTCAAGTGATACTTTCTGAGCTACAGGGTCAACAGATACTTTGGTTTCGTATTTATTTAGCTGGCCAGCCAATTGATCGAGACGACGATTGGCAGTTGCAGCTGAGAGTTGTTGAAGAAGATAACGAGAAGCACTGTCTCCAGCAACACGTCCGTAAACAACGCATCCAAGAAGAGATGAACCTCCAAGGCGATTAGCTCCATGCACACCTCCAGCAAGTTCACCTGTCGCATAAAGGCCAGGGATTGTTTTGTCGTCTACAGATTGAATTTCTGCATCTGGGTTGATCTCAATACCGCCCTATGTATTACGGATAAATGTGTGAGAGTGGTATTTAGTGGAAATTGTGGGTAAAAGCGCCCGATAAAAAAGTTGATAGATAAAACTTGTATACAAGGATTCTCTTACCATAGTATAATGAAGTACAGGGCTCATTAACGCAACATGGAATACATCGTCAAATACAAGCGGTCCATTGTGGAAAAACTTCTTTCCGTAAGGATCCTTCTTCTTTCCGGTAGCAATATCATTATAATCCGCAAACGTAGCCTTCAAAGCTTCGTGACTGACTTTAAGCTCCTTACACAATGCATCACCGCCCTTGATCTGCTTCATCAACCCGCGACCGACATAATGTTTGCAATGCCACTCGATTTCTTTTGACGCTTTACCGTTAAGAACTAAATTCACTGGTCCTTTTGTCTTCCAAATCTCTCCAGTGACATAATCTCTGTGACCCAATTCATCGCAGAAGCGTTTTCCTTCGCCGTTAAGAAGTAAACCGCCGACTCCACGAAGAGCTTCAGCAGCAAGAAACTTGACCTTAGCGTTAGGGTCTTTGGGATCGACAAGTCCTGTTGGGTGCACTTGAACCTTTTCAAAATCAATGCCTTTGCCTCCAATAGCAAGGACCATCTTGTGTCCGTCTCCTGTACAATGGTCACCGTTGGTCGTTGGGAGGTGGAAGATGTCGGGACGGTATTTTTTCAAAAGTGAATTCTCCGTAAAATCAGCTGCGTAACCTCCGGTAGCCAAGACAACTGGACCGCGTTCTTGGAACACCTTTCCATCTTTCTCATATTCTACTCCCACGACAGCATCGCCTTCTTTGAGCAATCTCGTTGCACGAGCCTTCATATATATCTTTACTCTATCGGGATGCACTTTAGCAAAGTCTTCTAATCCCTCCATAAGCGCGTAGGTGATTGTCATTCCCGGGAACATTTCCTTTCCGCGGTGGGTACGCGGATGAGAATGGCCACCAAGTCGAGAAACGAGGGAAAGGTCGAGCTTGAATTTGTCTTGTAGCCATTCTACGGCTGATGCCGAGTTGCCTGTGAGGACTTTGATGAGTCCTGGACGAGCTAGGTCACGAGCTGAACGTGTCGTGTCAGCAGCAAACACGTCGGCGGAGTCTTTAATTCCGAGAGCTGAATGTGCGAAAGAGATATGTAGAGGAAGAGAAGTGGTAAGAGTTGATCGAATTGGTAAAGGGAGATGGAAGAGGTGTGATGATGGAGATGGGATAGTCGAATGGTCAGTATATTGGCTGTTATACGTGATTCTTGCACGTTATGTTTATTTGTTATAACATCTGACTTGATAATAGGGAATAGAGGATTTCATAGTTCAAGGATCAATTGGTTATAATTGGCGTTGACTCTTGAATGCGGGTCACTACCCAAATAACCAATATTCAGCAAGTCGACAGACTCTAGCTACAACTACTCTTATAACTATTTTGTGACTACTTATTTACTTTTGTCATAACCACTCTTTTAACTATTTTTACAACTATTTTTATGGACCACTTTATAACCGCTCTTGTAACCACTTTTATAAACGCTCTTTTATCTTATCAATGCCTTCTCATTTATTAATTCTTCTTGATTGAGCATCTCAAGCACTTCCAAAGGTAATTCATGTCAATATATCCACTAGCACCTACTCATCTTCCCTGTACGTACCTATCTGTGTCTTAGTCAAAGCACCGTTGATACCCGAAGTAGCCTTTGTCGAGTTCCCACCAAAGAATGAATTCTTATCGATCACAACGACATTCCCTCCGTGCTCTAGAACAGTATGAGCAGCAGATAATCCAGACAGTCCACCACCAACAACGATAACTTGAGCAGCCATATTTACTTGAAAGATTTTAGTTTTGTAGTATACAGACACGTTAGTAATATACAGCAGAGAAGAGAAAGTGTCGGATGAAAAAAAAAGGTGGGCGTAGATGACTTTGTAGATGAAAAGCTGATGATCTGTATTCATCGGATGTTTCCGTGTAGCAAATTGCATTTGAGAGTGCTTACTATTGGTTAATCTATAGTGTGACAAAAAAGTGACATGACTTTCAAAACTTTAATCTATGCTCGTGAAGGCTTTTATGCCACAAATTATTTCTACTCGCTAAATGATTCAAACGCATGGATTTCTATAACTATGTTGCTCTATCTCTCTTTAGCCTTAAGATGTAACTATCTGTGATCATCACGTAAATCAGTAAAATACCCGAGATAAATCTGGAGAACAATGCTTCATCATAAGCTAGGGTATAACAATACCGGAGTCATTCATATGTGCTGGTGTATAAACACACAGTGTAAACCACGTTTTAATCGCATCGATTTAATACAGTGTATTAGTATGTGAGAAGCGATTAATTAATAATTATAACAACGTCATATTTGACTTATTACGAGCCGATTTTATTATATCGTGGCTTGGCAATATAATTATACTGTAATGCCAATATAAATTGTATTCTAAACGTCAAACACGTCTCATGCATAATATAACCAACATCTGATTGTTTGACTTGATGATCACAATGTATGAAAACAAGGTAATCTATATTTGTGCAAATAATCTACTTACTACATACTTCACCCAAAAATAGCTATATTTTTTCCTATTGTTGCATCCAGCAAAGGGTGATGTTGCGAAAGGTGTGCTCAACTTCAGATAACAGTCATTATCCATAAGACAAAAATTACATATTATTACCAATCTCATCTTTGATCTATTGCTTGCTCACCCTTATTTAATCATGGGAAGAAAAAGTGACGTTATACTACACTTGTATCACCAGCGACAAATATCATGCATAAGATGCGGCTAGTGTTCCGAGCATTCTATAATTAACTATGGGTCGGGGTGTTAATTATTGTCACAGCTGAAGCTGAAATACGGCTGAAACTGAAATAATGACCTTTCATTGGTTGATCAGATTTTATTCTCTAATCCTATTGGTTAGTTTCAGCTTCAGCTGGATTTCAGCATCAGCTCTCACAATTATTAATATAGGTAATTGTTTTCCTTTACAGAAACAATATACTGTCGCAATATGATGTAATGTTGCAGACCGTGATCATTAAGTCACGAGACCAGTTGATCGTGCGTATATATCAGACGAGCCTTCTCTATTGTCAAAAAAAAAACAACCAACTGCTTACTCTCATCTTATCCCGTGAAAAATGGACGCGCTTACTTATACTCTTGTTGATGGTGTCCCAAATTTTGAAAGTCTATAACGGTTTGAGTAGGGCCCAAAGAGCCACATACAATAATACATTCGATGACCAGCGGAAAAGCAATTTGTTGTACGTAATTGCGGAAGAAAGGAAAAAACGGTATGTTTGCTTGGATGGGTACAATTTCCATTAACTTTTCAATGGTGGCGTCGATTATTTGATTTATTTCGATAGCGACATTATCTCGGTCTTGGTTATGCTGTAATCAAATTACTTTCCGTCATCGGTTTTAATGTCTGGAAGACGAGACGGTGATCAAGATTTTATCAAATGCTGGAATAACTACAAGCCTGACCAAATTCAGGCAAAGAGATGAATATACTCTCTTAAAAAACAAAAACAAGTGTTTTTGCAAAATGTATTATCTATGTCACCACAAGCTGAACAAGATGTTATCTTTTTGCAATTTTGCATTCTCTTTGGAACCCAAATTGTGGTCGTATTCATAATAGCAATAATAGAAGGATTGGGTTATTTACCATCGTTTTGCGGTAACGGGAGGCTTGATTTGGACGTTGCCACCTACCGCGTTTTCTTTTGTAGCAGTTGGGAGTATAGTTATTTGGGTTAATGCGTCCTTTAAACGTGGTTTGTTCAAACTCACTCCCATTAATAGATGTCTGGCATGTTCTGTTGGGCCTCGTACGTCCTTTAAACATCGCATCGTACAGACTTATTCATTCATGGATAGTTTGACATGTTCCCGTTTGGGGCTTGGGTGTCTTATTCATTGAAGTATAGTTCTTTGGGTAGCCCGTACTAGTACGTCCTTTAAACATGATTCGTTCGCTCACTCCCTTGTTATGAATTCGAATGGTGATATAAAATTCATTATATAAACGACCTTTCTCCAAGGCAGAAAAAGTGGAACTACTTCCCTGGAGTACTTCATCTCTTGTAATAATAAAATATTAATATCCGTTGGAAATGTTGTTGTATTGTATTATTTTGTTCTCTACCGATACTCTGATGTAAGAATTCCTAGTGACTAAATCAGACATGTTACGGAATAATTATTTCGTTATAAAATTATGGCGATAATAAGCAGGGCATGAGAAGTATTTGGCTATTATATTATTCTCTGAATTGACGATTAATAAGACAAGTAACAGAGTATTCGTCTATCGATGCGATGCTTTGTTGTAACATCTTGGCGACTAATAAGGGAAGCATGAGAAGTGTTCCGTTTAGAAAGATTACGATTATAAGACCCTTATGTTTAATACAGAAAAAGCGTTCGTAATAATAAAGACGATGTATAACACCGAGAGTTTAATACATGTATACTCGCTAGAAGGTTGATACTTGTAAAAAAGTTAATTATTACGGATAGTATAGAAAGGCCGATGTCGAGTATATCTGTTGCATAAGATATATTCGAGACACGATCCCAATGTAAGTCTGCGAACAAGTGTACTACGAATCATGAAAGATAATAGTCAACGTAAAATCATTCGTCTAGCAAGAAGGAAATTATTCTTTAAAGAAATAATTAGTTATGATAATGTCCGATCTTATAGATAGAATTATAAAGATATACTTAAGTAGTATAATAAAGTTGGCTAAGCCGGTGGCCTCATCACTAAGCATCGACACTACGGGGCCCTATTGTCGCGGTGAGGGAGCGCAGCCGCCTCGCGAAGAAAACCGATTAAACCTAGCTTTATGTTATCCTTACAACGTCATTTTGATATTTAAGTTCACCAGATTCTATATCAAGAAATGCACTGTGCTTATGTAATGAGTCCTGATATAAGAAAATTTGGTTATTTTTTTTTTTATTTACCAGTCTTAACAGCGCTATAAAACTTACCTTCTCCCTCTTTACATTGACCATTTGCTTAATTTCTTCTCATTCCTGCGCGTGAGTCGCTCGGTCGGTCGTCTTTGCGTACGTTTTTCACACACCTTGTTGTTCTTTAAGGTATTCCTAGAGGCCAGTCTGGTCCTTGTTCGCGTTTGGGTGATTATGAGAAGGAAAGAAAAAACGCGTAGTGTGCGCGTTTATATATCTTTGGTTATGAATTCAATCTGACCGTGTCACTGTGATAATATGTATTTTTGAATATCATTGGTAATATTGTTGATATTCTTCCCCTCTCCTTTTTTATACCTTAGAATAAAAGTGATAATACACTTTTTTTTTCCGCGCAATCTGGCTTTTTATAACCATTTTATTAAATAGGACCGAGTTTAGCGAAAGTCTTCCCGCTCAATAAACGGCTGATATTTTGCAACTGTCCTTGGTGCTATCGCTTGAACAGGCGTTATGGAGTTGATTGTACAAGCGATAAGCGTGATCAACAGTAATTTCCGTCATGAAACAGAGCATTTGAGTGAATCTTGATAATATGCGATCTAATTGTATTTTGTTTTCCAAGCGAAAATATGGGTGAAATTTGCCTTCGCTTTTTAAAAAATTAAGATTAGATGACCAGCCAATCAGACAAATCTGTGACTGTGAATAATAATTGTCATGGTTATACAAGATAAGTCTATTAAATACTATAAATAAACTTGTTCTTGATACTCGATACTTTCGATGTGGCTAGACAGCATACGCCAAGGAATACACAAGTTGAGCCAAACAGTATATATTGAGAGGTTGGCATTAGGTACAATTGACAGAAGACAATTAAATATGTAGAATGTGCTTGTCGTAATTATTAAGTTCATGGAAAAATATGTTACATGAATAGTAAGACCATTTCTTGATGAAGGTATGACTTATTGCGTATTATATAGTATGCTTCGTGCACCAACTTAGTGTTAAAACTCCTTATTTCTAAAATTATTAAACTACAATTTTTTTTATCATTGCCATGTTATATATATATATATATATATATAACACTCTCGATACGTTCACAACGTATTCTGGATACGTCATGACGTATTGCATATATTTTGATTTATGAATACCTCTTCATTAAAGCAGTTATTAAACCCAATTCCGTAACCCATAATATCCATTGTCACATAGTTATTTGTGCGAACAGTATTGGTCATTAAGATAACGTAGTTCCTCAAGAACATCGAATGGATCAGTCTTATTCGTGGCATGTTGGATAGCTGGATCTCTGAGTGAGTTGAACAGATGGGTAAGTATTGAAGCATGTACGAGTTTGTTTGGAGAAGAGGAAAAGAGGAAAAGAGGGATGTATTGGATTATCAACGACGGATGTATCAACAATAATAATGAGAATTGGAAGATAATGGAAAAGGGCAACTTACGAAACTCGCAAGAACGGATTGTATTCCAATTCCTCACCAATTGTGGAGGATACAGGTCTTGTATGTTGACTAACATATTCCAGTTTCCTCTGTTAACCACAAAAAATCATATGAGTTCCTTTGTTATCACCACTCAAACATCATCGCATTTGTACTCACGCGTAAGTACTGATTGTTAGGATCTACCGTGTTAGCGAACTACACAAATGATGGAATCGAAGATGATGAGAAACGTATTTCTATCAACTACGGATAGGATATATGTATACACACAATTGAAACACTTGGTATTAGTAATGCTAGCGATAGCTAATACTGGCATTAACTATCACGTATTCATTATCTACTAACTACGGTTGTTAGGAATAT